CGCCAGGGTGCCACTTTCGTTGGCAATAAATACAATGTAGTCCTTGAAGGAATGTTGAAATTCAACTCGCGCTACCTGGAGTTGCAAGATGGCGAACTCTGTCGTTGCGGCACGTGGTTTCTCTTCTAACAAATTCCTCGTCAAAACATTCAAGTGCTGGCGAATCAGCGGGGGATTTGTGAAGTACAGCTGACGTTTCTTCTACCGGTCCTCGGGTTTGCATAATCGGTTCTGCGCCGATAGTCGGACTATAGCCAAGTGTACACATTGATAATTGGTCGCTTATAAGGACAAGCGGGATGACCCAGATTTCGGGGTTTTCCAGAAATCTTGACCTTCACCAAAGATGGACATTGCCCTACCTATAGTAGAAGTTTGGTTTCATTGGTGTGTATATTTGTTTGGTTACAGAGAAAACGTTCCTTGTCTTTTAAAGAATCTGAACAAGAGGCAAAAACTTTACCTTCGATTTTCTCAAAACAGAATTTTTCGGGATAGCCCCCTTGTGCTTGAAAGCGACCAATTGAAGTCCATAAGATTGAAATTTGACGTCTGATTCCTTCCAGATATTACATTGTTGTCACCTTGGCAATTGTTTCAGAATAATGTTATAAAGAACGTTTTCAATTTCTAGTAAGAGGATCGGTCGCTCGGATACAGCCAGGCCAACTTAAGCCAACAAAAATGGCTCCCAAATTGCCAATACCATTACGTACATTCAGCAAAACAGCATATTCGTGTGCACTGATATTAAGATCCATACGCCCACGCTTTGTATACACATAGAGAGTTGTCGGCGCTGTACGGGGTATCGGATCAGAGAATGGTTGCGTCTGTTTTCTGCCTTACAAACGGCTTGTTTAATGTTCTCTGTTGTCTGCGTCAGAGGACATTCGATTTCTCTTTGTGGGTAAAAATGTGTGTGTGTGTGTGTGTATGTGGGTGTATTTTTTTTTGTGTGTGTGTGTGTGTGCTTGTGTGTATGTGGGTGTATTTTTGTGTGTGTGTGTGTGTGTGTGCTTGTGTGTATGTGTGTGCGCGCGTGTGTGTGCGTGCGCGTGTGTGTGTGTGCCCGCGTGTGTTTACTTGTGTACATATGTGTACGCGCGCGCGCGTGTGT